ACTGCTACCAAGATACATGTTTATTACGGTAAAGATACAAAGTGTTGGAAATTAACCCACGCTCATTCTTCTTCTTAAAAGAGATGCTAAAAGTGTACAATAAACTAAAGATATACAAAATACAAGACATTATACACTACAATATGTTCAATCCCTGCAGTACAATTTCATCTACATACTACTAGTACATCAGCCTTCACATTTCCCTAAGTCGATTATTATACTTCATACTAAGTGATGTAGAGTTAGGGTCAATGCACAATTGAAGGGTGAGCATTTAGAGATCATATCACAGTTACATGTAATGACATGTGCAACAATTTTTTGCAAAAATAGACACTGTGGGAAGGACTTATGCAATCTCTTTTCTTTCAAATGTTTCTAACTGCAGAGAAGAATTACAATTTAATATTTATACAACTTACAGACTTATCTTTAAGAAAAATTTCAGATTCCAGCTTCTAAAAGTTGACACATATATAAAGATTCCTATGATCACCAGATCTGTAGATTTAAGCAATCACACTTCAAAACTTATTAGTGTGTGACTGATGCAGTCACACAGACATACCCAGGCATGCTGAAAAACAGGTTTAAGAAAGGACTAGGGAATAGGTCAAATAAAATCATGCATCATACCCACTATTATCCAACTTGTCTCCCTATACTGCTGTCTGAATACTGTTAATATTAGTCACAGAACTATCAGTTGACATTACCAGTCAGATTTCACCCAACTATCACATTCTGGGCGTCCATATAATATCTATCTGCCTGTATGCATGCATTTACCTTTAAAACTCTGAAGTTATTTTTAAAACTACCTTTTACATTTTTTTTGGTCACCATTTTATTAAACACTATTCTACATACTTGGCAGAACAGTCCTGTTCACAACCGTGAAATGGTGTATAAAATAGTGTTGTGTGTGACCATCTGCCTTCCTTAATCTCATTCCATTTTTCTTCTGTCATGCTGTCATTATAAAATAGTTCTGGCAACAATTATCACAGTTCACCAATGTCTTTATTTGGGATAGACTGTCAAAGCCACCTGCATTCTTCTCTACCAGTAGCAGCTGATTACAAACCAGCAACCAGCAGTACACTGCAGAAAATTAAGAGAGTGCACAAAAGTACATGTCCATGGGGCTACAATGTTCATTATTAGTGCCTGTGTTGCCATCTCTATGGGACTTCAAATTTATTTTTCTCTCAGTGTAAAATCCCATGTTCAATTTCTAAGGATTCTGGGCATGATACCATAATGAATGTTGGGAACTGTAAAATGAGATGAAGCAATTGTGACTCCTTCATTTCTAGGACATGTTCCAGGTTAAAGTGACCCAGGAACACAAACTATACTGATATCCAGGACTGGGTAAATAAATCCATGTTTATTATGCTGATAAAATAGGGCAAAAATATGATAGGGGGTCCTGTAAAAGTTTGTTTGTTGATTCACAGTTATTTAATGATGCTGAGTCAAATGCACATTTATTTAAAGTAAAATGAAATCACATGAATATGCACAGTCAACTGGAAGAGATGGGGAAGGAAGTGACGAGAAGTGTACATACTTTCCAAATACATCTTTGTTTTGTGGCTCTAATAACATATTGTAACTCCACATTTATCTGTAGATTATGATTATGTAAAAATGCAGATGTTTTAATTAGTGACTTTATCTGTACACTGCTGCTATCTAATAGTGTGAACAACCATTCAAACATAAAAAACAGTGGCAATGTCACTGCACATACACAAAACTGTATGAGGGTGGCTGAATGTACAGTTTACTGGTAGTTTCCAAGATTGTGAATATAATATAAACCATTTAACACTTCTGCATACTAATGTGACATAGGTACAAGACAGTTATGCTGTCATAATGGAGCATTACAAACTCATTATGATGTTGGAGCAAAATTCTTAGATTCAATGGAAGATGTAATGTGAAATAACTTCATGAGGGACTAAACTTCCTGAGACAATAGGCATGGTTGTACTGGCTGATAGTGGAACAGCAGCTGAATGACTAGTCCCACCTACAGTATCCTTGTCTGGAGAAACTTCTTCAAGGATCAATGTTTAGCTGACTGAGGCATACAATATTAAGAGTGTAAAACTCTGACAAGCAGTCCAAGAGGCTGAAACTGTCATCATCTGCATTCATGTTTGCTACAAAAATATCCTTACATGCATCCACATGAATACCGTATTTACGCATGTATAGGCCACGTGCGTGTATAGACCGCAGCACAATTTTTAAGACAGAAATTATAGAAAAAATAATTTTCTTGGAATATTATTTCAGGAGTAGAACACCCTGTATTACTAATTATGAATATATTTTTTTTTAAATGAAGTGTGATTTCGAATATTTCGAATATAAGCCGCACCCCAGTTTTCCTCTTGAATTTTTGACAAAAAATGTGCGGCCTATACATGCGTAAATACGGTATTCCCATGTGGCTGTCAGTATCAAAGATTTTCTACAACAGCAGTGGGAAATTCCTAAACAAACTATCATATTCAACAGATAAGACCCTGTAGTTATGCTGATATCTTTCCAGAAATGAGGGAACCTTTCAAGGTGAGTGGTTTCATCACACAGAAGAAATCTAACAAACAAAAGGATGATACCTTGTGAACATGAAAATAAAATCAGTCTAAGTAGATTCTTAAGGGTTCTGACAGTATGTAATTACTGGGCTTTTGGACTTGGTCCATCATTCGGTATTCTAGAAACTAGAAAACACATTTTGGAAACTGGATCTGTTTCCATCCTCAGGTGAGGGGGGAAGGACACCTACTCTATTAGGTCCCTTAGAAAGAGCTAACCTCAGTCACTGGACAACTCCTGTCATATTCATTACAACTATTTAATTACCTGAGACCAGGCTAATTCGGAGGGAGATAACAAGAAAATATGCAATAAAACTGTGACAAAGCATGCACATGTGTGGCTAGGCTTGTAGCACAAATTTCTACCTCCTTTTCTATCCTAGGATTATTCACATAATATATTCCAAAATATTAGAAAAATTAATGTATTATAGGCTAATGCCTTTTTTTAATTTAAAATAATATATTAACAGAGGCCCAAAATGGCTTCAGAAAGAATAAATCAACTGACAAAGCAAGTCAATCTTTTATTGAAAGTATACAGGAGGCCTTAGATAATGGCCTATATGCCATAGGATTATTTTTTGATTTATCAAAGGCATATGAGGCATGCCAAACATGTGTTTCAGGTCTTAAGTGTCAAACAGACTCCAATATGTAGAAATAAAAAACACTGATGGCAGTGTCAAATACAGTTATAATTCATCATATAGGAAAGTGAAGTATGGTGTACCACAGGGATCAGTGTTGGGGCCGCTTTTATTTTTACTATACATTAATGATCTTACAGAAAATGTTCAAGGAGCAAAGCTGGTTTTATATGCAGACGATACCAATTTGTTAATTACTGGAAAAGATGAACTTGACCTTCAATATAAAATAATGAACGTTATGAAAGAATTAGAAACATGGTTTCAAAAAAATAACCTTATAATAAATATTAAAAAGACATCTGGCATGCCATTTCATTCAAAACAGCGAAGAGATCCATTAAGACCACAAATAGTTTTTAATAATACAGAAATAGTATATCAGCCAGAACTGAGATTTCTTGGAATTCACATGACAAACCCTAAAATGGTGCGCTCATGCTCAATTTCTAAAAGCAGAGCTATGCAAAGTAATTTATATGGTGAAAATATTAAAAGAAATAATGAGTCCATATATGATAAAAATTATTTATTTTTCGAATTTTGAGTCAAGTATGAGAAATGGGATCTTATTGTGGGGTGGGGATGAGGAAAGTAAAAGCATTTTTAAATTGCAAAAGCAGGTTCTTCGAGTGATTAGTGGTATTAGTAGTCGCACATCATGTAGACAAATTTTTAAAGATTACAATGTATTAACATTGCCTTCTCTGTATATATTGGAGGTGACACGCTTTATCAAAAAATACAAGCCTTTTATGGCAATAAATTCGGACATTCATAAGTATAACACATGAAAAAAATTAAATTTTCATGTACAGCACAGTAATACAGCTCTTTTTAAGAGTGTGATAAATATGGGAATTAGTTTGTATAGTAACGTCCCCGATCAAATAAAACAAAGGGAAAATTTTAACTCATTTAAAAAGGAATTAAAATCTTTTTTGCTGAAACATTCCTTTTATTCTGTAGATGAATTTATGTCTTTTGATTTTTCAAGTGTGTAAATGTAATATATAGCTGAGTAATCTGTTGTATTTGTGTAAAGACAATGAAATTAACGGTAATTAGATTTAGATAATATTATTCAGATGACAAACCCCCTATATTGGGGTGATACAGTGTATAGTGTAAAGATACGCACAAGAATTAGATGTAAAACTGACAATTTCCTTATCCAAATGGTTGTAATACCTGTATGTATGGATTGTTGAGTGATAATAATAAATAAAATGAAAACACAGCAGGCTAAATATTTCACTGCCCAGTGTGTAATAGTGACTTTGTGATTAATTAATCTTTATACTAATCCACATCAGCTGCACGCTGCATACAAAGAATGGATGGCTGTAACCAATCTATAGTTTTATGTGAAAACTATAATGCTACACTTGTGAGTAAAAGGTGAAGTCCCTGTGCATGTACAGATCCATGTTTTCTTGACCTTGGCACTAGTTGGAGGTGAGTGACCAGCTTCACACTCCAGCCACTTTACCCAAGGGAAAGAGCCCCCTGTACCCATTGGATAGGAGGCTGGGTGGGCCACAAAACCGGTCTGGATGACAAAAAGAGAAAATTCTTGATTATTTCCATTAGTTGGAGGTCATACTTTAAGCAACTCACAATGATTACACAAAGATATGGCAATGTACACAAATGATATACTGTTTCAGTCTGAAGAAACAAATAAACGTTATCTTACTGTTGTGGCAATAATACAATACAATTATTATGTTTCTGGGCATTATTCATCTTGTTTTTATTTAAAACACACATTTCGGAGACAATATATTTGGTATCAATATACAAATACAAGAGTCAAATTTTCCTAATTATCTCAGAACCATGATCATATATGATCATACTGCATAGAAGAAGTACATCATAGTAATTGTTACCTTCAATATCCTCAATTGTGCAACAAGTAAACACTAACCAAAACAAATAGATTCAGTCTGCAAAGAGCCTATACATTAACACATTTTACTCAAACCACATAAATCTACTTTGGTATAGAAAATATATAGTTGACACTTATGGCAACAAAATGATAAAAGTGATTCTGTCCAAATTACTATTATATGAAATATTCACTTGCCAAAGCAGTTCCATTAGCTGCCAAACCAGTATACACAGCCTACATCTACAAAATTATGTTTCCTGCAACTGTCTTTAGATGCACCAAATTAATGCTTTGTAATATATCCCCTATGTATAGCCACATGGATATGTTTGTGAAAAATATTACCAGCTGCCTAGCAATACTTACCTTATTTAACCTGTCAATTAAGGCATGGACTCTGTCTCTGATAAAACTAGCTGCCCAATATTTCCACCTAATTTATAAGATAAGCCCTGATTCTGTCCAATCCAGAAGTCCTGTCTCATATACTGAATACAATAAGCCAACTGAAATAATAGTAGAGCCAGCAGTGCCCAAAAGCTATCAGTTTCTGACACACATTCATGAATAGGGTTCATTTGTGACCTGCTCGAGTTTAGCCATATAACTTGCAAATCCTCACATAAAAAAGACAACCTTACTGGGAGTTAACAAAATACTCCGGCTAAACAACTGAATATTACCAGTTATCAAGAAAATCAAATCCAGTTTTTGGAACTGTATCACTTGTGGATGGAATTTTTAACTCAACATGAAACTTATCAAGGCTGTCAAGACTTCCACCTGAACATGTGACATCATAATCACATTTTTGTGACTGATGACCAAGCTCATCTGCAGGACTCTCTTGTAAGAGAGCCCTTTCCTCAGAATCAGTTTGGGGACTGGGAATGAGAGGTTTCTGCTTACAAGGTGGAGGAGGAGGGGGAGTTTTGGGTTTTGATATTACAGACTTTCCTCCTCCTGGTTTAGGAAGCTTTGAGCTAGGTATTACAGAGCAACTATACTTTGATTGAACTAAAATTTCTCTTTCAGGCCCATTAACAGAATTGTCTCCATTTGTTTTGATCGCAGTTGATTTTGAACTTTGTATTCTTAATACAGCTGTCTTGTTTTTTATCTTTGTTAACAAATTATCTTCCCCAGTTCCAGACTTCGGTGGAAATTTTAGTTTTGAGCTTATTGCACCGACTAATTTGGAAGATGATCCACCCAAAACAACATTTGGTGGATCAATAAATGACACACTAGTTTGTTGAGCATTAATCTTTTTATGTGGGGAAGTTTTCTGTTGATTTGTTACAGGAGTATTTGGTGTGGTATTCTGATATTTTCTCACGGGTTCAGCCTCATCTATAACGCAGAGATTCAACTGGCTTTGTGTCATCCATGTAAATGGTGCAGAATGCTCATCACGCCATGCCAAATCCTGAAAGAAATATTATTACTAAAATTCTGGAAACTATAGAAGACAATGTGACAACTAATACATTGCAGTTTGCTTACCGAGCCCTTACCACCCTCGTAATCAGTAATCAACTTGTCTCCTGTCTGAAGCTGTAGACACGGGTAGTATTTAAATTCTGGTTCATCTCGAGGATAGAACGAGTACTTCAGAACTGCTTCGGGATGAATAATAGTTTCATCAACAACCTGACTTTGGTCCTTGTAACTTAAAGTATGCCACAGATTTTCATACGCATCTCTTGTAGTCGCAACATCAATACAAATTCTCTCAGCAATAGGATTCAAAGAATGGAAATACTTTTCCGCAACAGTTTCAATTGAGCTTAAACTCATCATCACACGACTTACGGCTATTAGAGTCACTGACTATTTCACCTCACACAATTCTAAGCTGCTGTTTGCCAATCGCTGCCTACGCATCCGCCGAGACTTTTTTGTTGTTAAAAATAATTAAAAAACAATCTAGGCGTAGGATATGGCCATCCGGACCCCTACAGCTCTGTAGCGTATTCTTAAACCGCCGTGACGTCACCAAAGAATTGATGCTACTATCTATATTCCCGTCAGTTTATTGATGTAAAATGACCGCTGCCGATGACTCTGTCGGTAAGAAGGTAAGATCTCTTGGCACTTGTACATGCATACTAATATGCATTTCTGTGAAGTTGTCTATTCCGTGACTGCCGTGACCGGCCGTGACCATTGTGTAGTAATCCGTGCTTAATTCCAATTAGTTGGCGACTTTGCCGACGGCGTGCGTCGATTGTCATTGTCGTTAATGTTAAGGTCGGTTAAAATGGAGTGTGGTTTAATGCTTGACAATGTTGAGGTATACGAAGATTTACGAAATCTTGGCTGTTGTCAGCGTTGTTGTTTGCGTTATTTAGGAGAAAGGAACCCCCAGTCATACAACTGTGTCAAAGAAACGTTAGTGAAGGTGTGCTGCATTTAATTTTTGTCCGTCATTGTATCGAGAAATGTATGTAACCTAAGTTTTGTGTACTTAATATATTTCTTTTCACAGACAGGACTGCAGAACGACAACGATTTTGACAATGGTCCAGACCGAAAATTTTTTAAGTGTAATCCGTGCATAGTTTGTCTTGGACTTATGCAAGACGAATTTTCTGCCGACGATACTGTGCAGAAGGTAAATTCCTGGGAAATCATGAATTCATTTAGACATGCTTCCTAAAAATAGAGATCCTCAGTTTATGAACACATTTGTTACAGATTGTTGCTGGTGTTGAAAAAGCGTCATACGACTGTGATATTTTTACTTGTGCATTGTCACTACCTATTACTTTTCAACTTAGAGCTCATTCTCTGTGGTTGCATTTGGCGGACAAGTTTCCTGTGCCTTTTGCTTTACGAGAACTTCATCAAGAGAAGCATGTGATATCCGTAAAAGAAGCTTGGAAATGGACATTTGCTCCGCTCATAGCGAAATCTATAAATAAAGAACTTGATTCAGGAGTGAAATCTAATTTCTTTGTCGGTGTTAATATGGTTTACTCTGGTGATGAAGATGAATGTTCTTGCTTGTAAGTGTTAGTGAAATATGTGTAATGATGATTCTGTGTCCACTTTAATGTCTTTATGGATCTTTTTTTTATGACAAGTCAATCCATTTAGTACATTAATTTGTTTTTGTTTGTAGATTGGAGATGCATGCAGATGTATTTAAGATCCGTAGAGCCCAGAAACGTAAATATCATGGAAACCTATACACACGGAAAGCAGTTGAGTTAGCACTGCAAACTACAGAGGCAGCTCATTTCAAACAGTTCTTCCCATCACCACCACCAGTACCAACTGCACCAGTTACTTTTGACAGCATTACATGCACACATAATTCATTATTCATTGCAGGTAATAAAATGTGTGGAGTTTAAGTGGCAGTGAATCAGGATCACTTTATTTCTACTGAAGTTACATAGCTAAGTTTCTGTGTAGCTACAATACTTCCTGCTCATTCATTATCAGTTACTTTGTATACTCATTACATGAGGGTTGTATAGCTGAAACCTGTTTGCAATACTTTTAGTAAATATGGCTGAATGTAGATGATCAAATGGCTGTGTGTGTAAGACACCAACAATTGACCACATGCTTTGCAAAAGAATAGGCAAATTAGAGCAAACATGAACAGTGTGATATGCTTACATTTCAGCATTCCAGCTGTAGAAACATCCAAATAGGACTCATTAGCTCTCATTCAGCTCCATGGTGTTAAGAGTTAAGAGCTGGTTGAAATTAGAGGGAGAATAGATGATATACAGGGTGTCCCAGGAGGAATGGACCAAACTTCGGGAGGGTGTTCCTTATGTTAAAGTATGCCGATATAACCCAAAACACCTATGTCCAAAGTTGAACGGTTACGGAGATAATGGCCCGAGAAAAGTG